TCCAAGTCAAAATTTTCTCTTTAGTGTTTAGAAGCCCCAAACATATTTTCAGAAAAAGCTCTAGAACCTCATTAGCTTGACACTAGGTATACTGACTGCAACTCAGCTTAGATCATCAGTACCTTCTATCGAATTTCAGATAATGAAAGTGGCCTATGCAGAGAATGTGAAACCCAACCAAGATGGCAATTTGCAAAGTCCTTCTCTTTGGTGTGACAAAGAACATTCCTTCCAGGCAGGCACAGGACTCCTGCTTCACTTTCATCATCTATCAAAAGAAGACGTAGCTGGAGGCCAATTCATATCCCTCTGGCAATACGATATTGCTAGATTTTAATACCATAAAATTTCAAGCTAACAAGTTCTTATTTTATCATGTTTGTGTAATTTCAAAGTGAAAAAATTTCACATACATTTGTGCTAAGGTCTCATCATAATCTGATCTGTGAGAGAGATCACAAAGAAATAAAAAGGTGAGTGAAGTTAGTGCTCCCAACAAAATCAGTCCTACGGACTTTTGATTCCTACAGTTCACTTTTTGTGAAAAGGAATGAAACAAATTTTTTACCTTGAAGATTTCTCAGATATAGTCATCACCCCTATCAAGTGAATTTAAATCAGCTAATTGGACAAGGAATTCACAAGGAAGTTATCATTTCAAAATCTAAAGCCCTGGATGGACTTGGTCACTTATATTTAATGGCTATCATGGCTATCAGATTGTTTCTATTTGCTTATGCACCCCCTGGTCTTACACCTAACAGACTTCCAAGTATGCTTTTATAGTCTTCTTTTAAAAATAAGACATTCCGGGGGAGGGGGGTGAGGGAATCAAGTTTGAGATATAGTAACTCTTATTTTGGAAAGATAGCAACCAAAATCTAAGAAGCATTAAGCTCTGTGTCCAATTGTAAAAGGTATTAAATGACCATAGACTCCATACTGAACTCAATACAGTGTGCCTTAACATTTTGAAATTGCAATCTAAACCTTAGAAGCTGAAAAATTGTGCTCTGGTTTTGCTAGAGATTAAGTGCACCTTTTCTTGTTTTCCCCAAATAAAATCAGAGAGCTTACTATTTAATAATCATACCTCAAAGTTTTAGAGTTTTCTTAGTACAAAGTAACAGCTACATACACGTAAAATGCTTGTTAATGTAGTAATTCCCCTGGCTCATCCAAAGTGCAACGCACATGACTTAGAAGACTACAACTTGGGGCAAGTACATATGAACTGAGAAACACAATTCAAGTTTCAAAACCTGCTCTTAAAATTATTTGTAGGACACTCAGGTCATTTTTACTTCTTAGAGAAATGAGTTGCACTGTCATTTAATTATCAGTCCACTTTGGCATGGGAAGAATGTACATCACCAGATGCCAATTTGAGGGACTAAGGACTTAAAACACTGTATTTCTTATGGCTGAATAAGATAATTACAAGTTTACGTTTACATTCTACTGAAGACCTCTTTATAGTCTCAGCACCTAACCATATTTAACAGGCTCCAAGAATCCTTAAATGATGGGTGTAACATTTAAAAAAGGAGCCAATTTTTTCAGCTTTAAGTCAGAACCAAAATTAAACGTTTTATTTTCATAACTGTATAAATGTGATCCAAATGTGTCCACCACTAATTTTTCAAAAAGAAACATGCTACAAATAAGCAAACTACATCTGCTCACTGGTATGTGTATGGACTTCCTATATGTCTTGTTGGGCTTAATTATACAGACCACTCACAGCAATACATTTTTAGTAGAAAGTGTAGCATGATGTTAAGCCATTTTAGCTTTTGCACATACATGTTGCACTTCTGGCTGATGCAGAGATTTGCAGCATTACAGTTAAGCTGGGCTGCACCCACCCCTTTAAATGGCATCAATATCAATGTCGTCGTCTTTGTTGTCAGACTTCACAGCTTCAACTTTCGGTACACTGGCAGTCTTTGAATATACCACCTAATAAAACAAATGTTTTTTATTACAAACATGCATCCCAATACATCTGCTTACAAAGACAGTATTAAGTAAATGGACAGTAACAGAAAAACTACCTACATGCTGTCATTGTTCAAGAAAGTTTTTTCACACAAAATCTGTTCTCTCCACAGCCTGAAACCATCTGGTTCGTTTTTATAGACAACTAGCACCTCTATACTCAATGTGTGTTCGTTACACCCTCCTTAGGAAATTCACTTACTTGGAATCATATAATGTCTGGGGGTGAGATTTCCACTTTTTTCTCATTGTGGTCTGAGAAGTTGCTTGATACAGTTTGTGTTTTTTAATTTGAGGCTATTTTTGTGGTCTAGTATGTAAGTGATCTTTCTGGAGAATGTTCCTTCCACAGATGTCTGTTAAGTCTATTTGGTCTAATATATTGTCTAGTGCCTCTTTTTCGATCTACTGATGTGAATGGTGTGTTAAAAGTCTCTCAGAATGAATGCGTTGCAATCTTTCCCCCCTTTTACACTGTATTTTTGTTTTGCATATTTAGGTGCTCCTATGTTGGGTGCATATTAATTTATAATGGTTATGTACTCTTGTTGGGTCACAATTCTTTCCATTATTATTACTTTCCAAATACAGATTTTAAATCTGGAGTTACCGAGATGGCCATTTTTATTTCTCAAACACCCATCACTAAAACACCTTCCCAGTGCTTACCTCAATATTCTCATCTTCATCATCATCTTCACCACCAGAAGACTCTTCCTCTGCCTCCTTCAACCATTTTATAAATGGTTCTGCTTTGACACGAATCTCTTTGGCAAGTTCTTTTGAGACGTATTTCTTTGAGGCCTAAAAAACGTTCAGGGCATTTTTCTTAGAGTAATTAACTTTCAGTTTTTATATAATCGCCCATATTGAGCTCTGAGATAACTGGGTCATGTCCTAATCTTGAATCCTCACTACACCACACATATATTCAGCAGCAAGTATCAGAGTCTAAGTAGTTTATTCTGTAATTACTAGAAAGTGGCCATAGCGTCAATCATCTACAAGCTACACACCAGTCAAGCACAGGGGCTGGCCTTAATGTAGGAAAGACACCAATGTTACTTTCCCCAAAAAACTTGTGACAGTTTTTTGAGCACTTTTAATCTTAGAGCCCATTTATGTATTTCTCACCTTTTCTGACCAGCTGATGATGACCTCTTCTTCTAAAAGGTCTGCATCATACATCTCCTTCAAGATATGTGGAATCTTGGAGATGAGCTGAGCTTGATGCATTGCTACCACACACTCCAAACCATGGAGAAGATACCGTTGAGCTTTTTTGTTGTTGTGACAAAACTGCAAATGGATATTTCAGCATTCATTTAAAAAGATTAGAAATAAATGTTCTAAAGTATGTACGTTCATTGCCTTAGAATTGTTCCTTAAAGTCATGGATCTGTAACAGTGGTTCAAAATGATCCATGCATCAAGATCTCCATATTACTTTATAAAGGACTACATGCAGCATTTTTCATAGTGTAAGATAGGTTGACTACCTCCTTCTCAGGATGGAAGAGAATAAATGTGCAAGAGGTTAAATATTTCCAAAGCCACATACCTATAATCTCATTTATGAACCTAAAATAATTTGCTTACTCGTAGGAAATGGCGCCTGTATTTCTTAATTTGTTCTCTAATCTTCTCATTAAAAAGAACTTCAGTCAAAACAAGAGGGCCCATGGCTTTTACATCTAGTCTTTCTGCTTCAGCAACAATTTCTTTGTCAGATGAGTCAATAACACCCTCTTCTTTCTTTTTCTGCAAATCAAAGAAAGGAATTCAGTGAAACAGAGGCACATTTCTCTCTAGAAGCAACATGCGCTTTTTCTCTACCTAGTTTTATGACAGTTTCAGGATTTCTAAATGATACACACACAGCTCCAAAGACAGTGCCTGGAACCACTCTTAGAAATAAAGTATTTGAACAAACTGAGAAAGTGAAAACAAGGCTTGCAGTTGAGTATTCACAAGACAGCCATGAGAAAGGTTACCAGCCGGCTACCCAGCTCGAAATAGCTAAGTGCCTAAGTCCAAAGCTCGGTTGAAGCTGACTTCTTAAGCATTAAAATGTTAATCCCATGGAAACAAGTGTTTTACTTTACCTTAACGAAATCAAACAGGATGTTGACCCGCTCTTCAACAGTCCTTTCCAAATCATCACTGAGTGTCAGAACTTTTGCATGGTCACTGATTTCATCCATTCTGCGCCTTTGAGCTTCTTCAGTTGTATCCTCCCCCCAGTCATCATCCTCTTCTTCTTCCTATTTATACAAGAACAAAAGTGCTTGGCCAAAGGCCTTAAAAAGGTAGACCAGCTGGGATTTCTAGTTATGTTAATATCATTATGTTCATTTTCCACTGAAACTGGGCTTACCTAAACCAACCCACAGTACCTGGAACCCAATATACTCTTACAATGTTATACTGAGCGCTAGTTTCAGTACTTCTGTACTCCTCAACAACACACACCTTACAAAATTTTAGTGCCTACCCTGCCATCAACCCCCACTCACCACAGCATGCGGAGGTGGACCAACTTCATTTGGTGGTGGTGGTGGCGTCTCACTGCTGGACATGGAGCCATTTTCTTTGTCTTTTCCCTTTCTGTTTTTCTTTTCCTTTTCTTTCTTTCCCGTACCACTGTCACTATTCTCTACAAGCAAACAAAAACAAAAATTTAGTACTATAGCTTATACATTAATTACACCTCAGTGGCCATCACATACATTAAAAATCCTGCCCTCAGACAGCCACAAACATAATGCTGACTAGAATTCTGAGGGGACTCAGGGACCAAATCCATCCACTGTAATTAAGGAAGAAACTAAGGCTCAGAACGGAATGTCCCAAAATGTTAGTGGTATTAACTGCTGGGTAAGATTAAGTGTTAATGCCTCAAGACCAGGAAGCTAGTCATAGCTGGCACTCAAACCTTCTCTTTCATCCCTCATGATACAAGGACATCTCTCAAATGCACTTTAGCTAAAAGCCAAAACACTGTTTAAGTCTATATAACGGTTTGCCTCACAGAGGAGAGAACACCGGAATAGGTTAGACTCCCTTGCTATAGCAAGCTCAAATTGTGTCAGACGGTTTCCATCATCTGCCACAGAGTGTTGCTTGCAATGTTCTAAAGCCATTTAGGCTTAATGAGCCAAGACTCATTTTCAAAAACACTATTCCAGAGAGAGGCCCCTCTGCTGAGATGCCATCACAATTAAGTCTCACAACGCCTGTTTCATCCACCCTAAAATGACAGGGCTTAAAAAAAAACAAAAAATGGTATAGTAGGGTTTAGCCTGTGTTTCACATTTAATGGTATATCATTTTTGAAAGGAATCTTAGATTCAGTACATGGTTCAAGGATTAAAAACTCCTTATATTCCAGTTTTATAAGCAGCAAGAAAACCTTCCATTTTGTTTTCAGCCATCACTTGTTTTCTGTTAAGATCTTAGAAGTTCATAATAAAACCTTACCAGGTGGGTTTTTGAGAATGAACGTGCAGAGTTTATGATGTGTGTCAAGCATGCCTCGATAGCCACAAGCTTTACAAGAATTACCTATTGTTTGCTTCTTTGGATTGACATGCTGCCAAAAAATTAGAAACAAATCAGTACATCATCCACCACACACGAAAACACTGAGAAACTGTGAAAATATCTAATCACTAGAAGACACCTAAGAACACCAATTTATCACACAAAATTTTTCGTAGTCATCTTACCCTACCCCAAGTCAGTATGAAGCATCTTCAAAATTTCGAGATTTTGTGATTTCCAATTAAATATGCCTTGCCCGCTCAGAAACATGACATGATGATTCCACAGTAATCATCAGTTTGACAAAAATCTCAAAGGCACTTACCAGATCTGTTTCAGGATTCTCACACTCAGGACAGAGAACAAATTTTTTAATGAATCCATCCAACATGTCTTGCAGCTTATTCGCCTCATGAGATCCATTGACAATGTAACGGTCATTCTTAACATCAAACTGGGTCTGTGCTCCCAGCTCACAACCAAAATATTTGGTGGGATCTGAGGAGGAGGAAGGTGGGCAAAAAGCTTGATTATATATGACTAAATTAACATTGGCTGGCCACCAACGTTTACACGAGCACCACTCTTCACTTTTAATTACATTAAAAAACATTTTACCTGGGAGGTTTTATGTACTAAAGCTATTAACAAATAAATTGTTTATAAAGCCCAAGGTTCCACTTAACCCCTGAAGCTAATTAGCTTACACTTGAAGCCAAGATTTGTTATTTCAAAAATTTTCATGAATGCCCTTTCAGACTGCTTGAGACATTACTTACACGTTGGAGGCCGATTAAGCGCCTTTGCAACGTCAACCATGTTGACTATAACTGTCTTGATTCCATTTCCTTTGCCCTCAACCTAAGGGAAAAGAAGATGTTTAATTTTGCACTGTCTATCCCAGAAGATGCAATCTTTAAAAACCTATGAAAACAAAACCAAAAATCTCAGCACTTGCTACCAAAAATGAGAATCATCTATTACCTTGGCAATCAGACGGGGCATCTTGTAGCGATAGAACTGGTCTGACACACTGCGGTTGACGTTGACAGACATTTTGGCTTATTAGTGGCTTTATCAATAAGATGAAGAGATCTTTGATTGCAACTTTTTGGTATCTTCTGTCTGGAGAAGAAGGGATGACATAAACGACTGCAAGAGTTCTCGGTCTCTGACATGAAAAAATTTTCGCCACTGAGGCTGTGAGCTTCTTGCTTGTATGCTATGTTTCCCCAATACAGGTACCAATGGCTGCGCAACAGCTCTGGAAGATAAAGGAGAGAGAACACACAAACCCCCACAACGTTTAACACGCCTCCTTCATGAGAACACCCTTTTACGTTCTGGTTCGCGATGTCTAAATCTACGTTAAAAAGCACCTAAGTTTCTATGAAAAAATTAACATTCTCATGTAACACAAGACACCTGTAGCAAAATAAAAAGTCCTCCATTTTGACTAACGTGTGATTCTGGCTGGGCAATGCCAGACTTAAAAACAAACAAACAAACATCCTCCAAAGTGCTTTTTCAGCCGCGGTGGGTTCCCATCAGGCCAAACATAACTGACACGTCAATAGTTTGCTTGTGGCCATATTTTAACTGCTGAATAATGCACACAGACCTCTCCCTCCCCCAAACCAAGCCCGTACTATCAAAAGACGATACCACCCCCGTGAGCCATCTTTTAAACGGGAAACTGGAATTATTCTTAATAACCAAATTGCTACTTTAGCAATAAATGCTTACTTCAAAGAATCACTTCCCTGACCTCGCTGCCGTGGGCTCTGCGTGCGTGCGAGGGCGCGCCCGGTCCCGGCCTCTGCTCCCCTCCCCTTCCTGCGCCAGCACAGTTAACCTTCGCTCCTGTGCCCACGGCCTCGAGGCGGTTCGTCCGGGGCCGGCCCAGGCTGACCCGGCACCAACGGCGAGGGCAGCATTTCGAGGGTCTCCCCGGCGCCGGCGGCAGGTGGGAGCGGGCCGGGGAAAAGCGGCAGGCCGAGGGGCGCCGGTTCGATCCCGGGCGCCCCCGCCCCCGCGCGGAGCCCGCGATGACTCATAAATGCAGCACCGCGCTTGACTCAGCCCGCGGGGCGCGCTCCCGCGGGGCGGCGGCGGCGGCGGGGGCCGGGGGCAGCCCGCCCGCCGCCCGAACTGCGCCACACGCGCGCGGGTCACGCGGCGCGCCGCCATCTTGTGCGGCCGCCATCTCCCCGCCGGCCCGCGCCCGTCGACTCACCGTTTTCGTCAAATAAAGACATAAACCCAACGCTGCTCGCCCGGGACTGGGATGAAGTGAGTCGCGTGTGAACCAGAGTCCGAGGAGGGGCGGCGGAGGCGTGGAGGCAGCGCAGCGAGCAGCGGCCGGGCCAGGCGCCGCCGAGCAGCGGGGAGGGGCTGTCCCAGCGACGTCCGGGGTCCACACCCTTCAGCGCCCGGGGCCTGGCGACCTGGCGCGGAGAGACGGCGCCGTGAGCCGCGGAGTCGGGGCGCCTTCCCCGCCAGCCGGCGGCCTGCGGGGGTCGAGGGGGCGGGGAAGACTGGGGAGGAGGCGCGGGACCGCCGCCCCTCCACCGGACTTACCTCTGGAATGTTCTCGCTCTGACTGAACAACGCCGCCGCCGCACTCAAGCTACCCTCGGCCCCAGTGCCCGCCCCCCGCGCCAGGCCGCACAACCCATTGGCTGGAGGTCCGTCCGAGCTCGCTCGTCACTGGCCTGCATTCCATGTCAATCACGTCTTTCCCCACCCCTTCTGCTTCCGGTGGCTCCACTCACCGCCTCAGCTCGCTCCCCCCACCCCCGACGGTCCCGGTCCCGTCCCCTCCCCCTCCGTTCCCAGACGCCTTCGCGGTCTCGCGAGAGCGGACAGGGCGGTTGGGGCCCGGTCGCGGCGCTTTGCTTCGTCGGTTTGCGCGCCGCGAGATGATGGCCGTCAGTTCCCTTACCCAGTCGGCCGTGTCTGTCCGCGCTCGGGCCGGAGTGCTTCTCGCGCCGGGCGTGCCACCTGGTTTCGGGGTTTCTCTGCCCCTCCCGTCCCCTGAGAACGCCAGTCGGGCCTTGAGGAGGAGGTTTTCCTCCCACTCCCTAGGCCTGGGCATAGGGTAAAGGTGAGAGGGCCCGGGGCTTTAATCACAAGCGCTGCCTTTTATCCTCCGAAGCAGAGGTCTGCGTGTTTCTGGCGGCCGTGGCTCGCCGCGTCACCATCCTCGTGAGGCCCTCGCGCCCGGCTCGCTGCTCGACACTGGCCTACAAGCCTGCCGTGGCTCATCTATCCCGTCCATCCGAGGAAAACACCGAGTCATAACTCCGGGGCCTCCGGGAAGCTCATCTTGGAGGGCCCTCGTGTTCGTGCTCCACTATCACTGCCTAAAATAAGCATCACATGGGGTTCATGGGGTTACCAGTGGTGGAATCCACTTCGCCAGGTTACAAGTTGTGACTTCCTTGCTGGGCGAAGCGCAGCCCCAAAGGCAGGTGTTCCTAATGAGATTCCAACGTAGTCCTTTGGAAAATGACTTGCTATTGGAAAGATCCTCTCATATTTTAGTTCGGTTGAGGTGATTACAGAAACTCCCATTCTTACAAACTTAAATTTTGTGTAAAGTTTCAGTTTGAGGCTGTAAAAACCTACCCAGAGTCCACCCTGAAATTTGAAAACATACTCAGCTGTAATAGGGCAAGAGCCAAATGGTTTTAACTTGCTCTCCTGTCATCTCTAAAGATTGGTCATGGCAACCAAGGTTCCCCAGGCAAGCGGAGCGGTTCCTTCCTGTGGATAAAATAGAGGTGTTGCTGAGGGGCTTGTTTTAGATCAGCTGAATTTGCAAGAAGGTTAGAATTCAAAGCTATGTTGGTTTTTATGAAATTTCAAGATTACTCTTCCATGATTTATAAGCTATAGAACTGACATTTTAGAACGGTCTGTGGGGCGATTATAACAAAGGGATGATCTAGAATTGAAAAGTGATTTGTGTCCTTCACTACAGGGTCTTTTGTTACAATCACACAGTGTCTATATCAGTGTATAATTGTTAAACCAACAGCATAATGCATTATGGGTATCAAGGGTCCCATTAGACAAATTAGAAAAGTAGGTCCCAGCCATTCCGCTTCTGGTTCACCACGGAGCATGACTTAGCAGTATTGAAACATTTGAGAAAATCTGTTGGAAAATACGGGAATGAAACTAGCTTGAGGTAAGGGGCCTGCCTCAGAAAAATTTTTAAATAATATGTGAAGTGTTTAAATTTTTGATATGCTTGATGGCCTCATATTTAATTTCATTAAAGAAGTTTACATTTTAACTGTATAGTATGTGTACCACTCATTTGTATTTAATCACAACTTTTAAAATTATTCTTAACCATACCATTTGTTGAATGCTTCTTAAAATGTAAGAATTTACTAAGTCCTTTGAATATACTGCCATATCTGTATGAGGACTTTTTATTCACATTTTACACATGAGCAAACTAAGGCCTAGTGGAAAAAAATTAAGCAATTTCTCCAAAATTACATACTATTAAGTAGCAGGGTGAGATTTTAAACCCAGAGCTGTCTGACCCCAAGTCTGTTCCCACAGA